CAGGGCCGCCCTGCTCCAGCTGAGCCCTCTGCCACTGGCTGCGTTGCACGGTGTCCTGGTACTGCTGGGCCACTTCTGGGGGCACCGGCCGCCGCGCCTGCCTGAGGGCCAGGATCTGGGGGGTGCAGAGGGGCCTGTGAGGGCCCTGCCTGGGCCCGCAGACACCCCCCAATCCTGCCCCACCGAGCCCAGCGGGTTGGATACCCACCTTCCGCTCCAGACGCTCTTGGTCGAAGGCCAGTACGCTGAGGCTATGCAGGGGCCGGGCTGATCTACGAGGAGGGGAGAGATGAGGGGCCGCAGAGATCCCCATCCCCGACCTCGTTAATTCAACAGACACGCTGGGCACTGGGGAACAGCGGGAGACAGGCCAGGCCCACCCCAGTGTTGCTGAGCCCACAACCTAGCAGGGACAATGGCTGTACACCCAGGCAACTGGGATGCCAGGTGGTCAGGGAGGGCTTCCTGGAGCGGGCAACAGCCAAGGTGGGACCCAAAGAAGTCAGAGTGGAGCAGAGGAGCGGGAAGCAAGTGTGGGGGTCAGGGTGCTCAGGGCATCGTAACACAGAGAAGCCCAGAGGCCAGTGTGAACTAGGTGTAGCCATGAACCAACCGGAGGAAGTGGGGAGAGAGAAGGCTGGATCTGACAATGGTCAGATCACAAAAGGTCTTAAAGATCAAGCTGAGAAGTTTAAATTGGATCCTCCAGGAGAAGGGGAGTCAGGAAACGTTTTGAAGCAGGGGAGGGGCATGCTCCAATTTGTGCCTGCTGGGAAATTGTCCAGGAGGGGTTGAAACGGGAAGAGGGGAGGTTGTCTCCAGATGGCCTGGCCCAACCACCTACCTGTTCCCTGGCTCCCTTGTTGGGGCAGGTACAGCAGGAGCCTTCCCTTTGGGCCCAGCAACCTGCTGCAGAGGACAGAACCAGTCTTGTGAGTCCTGGCCCCTTGAACAAGCCTCCCTCCCTGGGGTGCTGAGGGCAGGGGTCTCACCGTGGGCAAGGCGGCTGGCACGGGGTCGATGACCAGCCACCTCTCAGTCGTGGTCTCCAACTGCTGAGCTGTCAGTGGCTCCCGGATCCGGACCATCACCTCTAGCCTCCCCCCGGTGGGCCGGCGACCATCCAGGACCTGTGTGGGAGAGGAGGCTGCTGGGAAGGTCCAGGGCTGGGGTCAGGGAGAACCAGGGCGATTTCCAAAACTACAAGCCCACGGCTGTGGCTGAGACAGCATCTGGTGAGACGGAACAGGGTGCCAGCGCTATTCAGGGCTGGGTAGTGGGGAGGGCTGGGACTCCGTGGGAGGGCCTGCAGGGAGCATCTGAGCAAGGTTAACAGGTGGCATGGCCGTACCGGAGTGCTCAGATGAACGCCCCCCTCTCACCTCCAGAATCTCCCGGACCTCACATGCTGTCTCCAGGGCATCCAGCTTCAGCTGTGCTGTGCCCAGGACCCGGTCGGTCTTGAAAAGCCCCCTGGGTGTGTGGAGGGGACAGATGGTTGGCCCAGGCAACTCCCCCCGCCCCGGAGCCCACATAGCACCTGTGGCCCCAGCTCACCCCTTGTGGACCACTTCGAACTTGATGCCTTTGGTCTGGATGGCCCTTCGGAAGCCGCGGTGGCCGCGGTTGATGCAGAGTTTGAACTGCTCCTTGAACTCTGCCCAGGGAGGGATGGGGAGAGGAAGGAAGGAGGAATCAGGCTATAGTCTCCTGTTCCTTCTGCAGGCGGTGGGGGCGCCCCCACCGAGGCTCACCAGGGGAGTCTGTGTTCTTGACCACGCTGGTCTTGTCTTTCTGAGCTTCTTCCTGCGACCAGAGAGGAGGCAGGGAAGCTCAAGGGCTGGGGCCTGGCCTTGGCCCCCTGCCCGACCACCCCCAGGCCTGACGGGGCTCGAGCCCATGCCCCCTCGGCTCGCCACATACCACATTGGGATAGGGGAAGTCGAACCGAACGAAGACATCCAGGTCGCCGGGGGACAGCCCTGTGGGCGAGCGGAGGTCAGAGCCGGGCAGCGAGGTGGTCCCCATGGCCTGAGCCCTCCCGCCGCCCCTCACCTGGTGGCGTGGGCAGGCCGATGCCCTTCACAACCCACAGGAGCATGTCATTGCTGCCGAGCTCAGGGAAGATCCTCCAGGAGGGCAGGCGGGAGACAGAGGAACCTTAGCCCCCCGCCACCGCCTCTCCCCTTGGCGGGGCAGGCACGAACCCCACGCTGGCCTTTGAGGGTGTCTCAGCCCCCGGGTTCACTCCAGAACCAGACAGACTGGAATTCTCCGTCCAGTGCCAATGGCTACCTCGTGGGCCCTTCTTTCAGTCTGCGTGTACTTATTTGGTACCTGCTTTGCGCCAGCAGTGGCCGCGCTGCTGGGGGACCTCCCTTCACTTCACAATATTTCCGGAGCCCCTACTCTTCCCCAGCCAGTGCCCTAGCTGCTCTGGGGCCTTCTCATTTGACAGTATTTCTGGAGGCCCCTACTACGTGCCAGCCGGCGTCCTCGCTGCTGGGGGTAGAGCAGGAAATGAGACAGCCCCGTTCCTGCGCTCAGAGCCTGAGCCTGCCGAGTGAACAGAGAACTGATGAAGACATCCAGAGAGCAAAGGAACTCTGCAGAGAGCTGAGATGGGAGAGGGCGGGGTGCGCTCAGCGGGGCTGCTTTAGACGGGGTGATCAGGGAGGGCCTCTCAGAGGAGGTAACATCATAGGGGACTCTGGATGTCAAGAAGGGGCTGCTCCATGGAGACCTGGGCTCGAGGGTCTGGGCAGAGGAAAGAGCCAGTGCAGAGGCCCTGAGTGGGCACGTGGTTGGTGCGTCTGAGGGACCAAAAAGAGGCCTGTGTGGCAGGAGGCGAGTGACGTGGGGACAGCGAGCAGAGATGAGGTGACAGGGAGCCAGACCATGCAGACATGGGGGAGCCAGGGTAAGGGGGGTAGGTCACCCTAGCTGTGGCGAGGAAGCACTGGAGGACTGGTGGCTGCACCTAACCTCGTCTATGAGTGGGGAAGATGATCCCAACTCCCTGGGCTGTGGGAAGACTTCACTGGAGCGGGACCAACCACCACCACCAGGTGGGCCTGTCCAGGCCCTAAGACAAGGCACATCTCTGCCTCACTAGATCGTCCCCATTTCCAGATGTGTCACTGTCAATGCCTCATCACCATCCTTCTGTCTCAGGACCCTTACACGTGCTGTGCACCCATCACCCACCCAAACCCTCCTCCAGAGGCAAGTCCTCCACCAGCCTCCAGGGCATGCAAACCCCTCTCTAAAGGGGTGGCCGGGCCAGGGGTAGGGGGTTGGGGGTGGGTTCAGGGCCTTACTTGATGACACTGAAGGTTCTCTGCTCAAAGCGGGCAGTGGGTGTGGGCAGGCCCCGGGCGAAGGCCTGCTTCAGAGTCTCCATGCTCCGCTTACAGTCTTCTGCCAGCTTCTCAAATCTGCCGGCGAGAGGGCCCTACTCAGGTCCCTGGCCCCCAGGGCGGGCTGGGGTGGGGGCGGGGGCACTTACTTGCTGGTTTCGGTGATGTTGCCCAGGTGGGTGAACTGGTTAGAGTGGTTCAGGCACATCTGAAGAGCAGAGACAGTGAGGGAAGGTGGGGGGCCACGACTGTGCGGGAGGCCTGTGACCCGAGCCAGGGCCCCCTCACCTCGTGTTGCTGCCTAATGAGCTTGGTGAGTTCACTGTAGCGCCGGGCGCACTCCTGAGAGAGACCTGGGCCCGGCCGCTGGACCAGGGCAAAGTCGTCCTTGTTGATGGGGGCCGGCGGCACCTGGGGAGGACGGGGCCCATGGGGAGGCCTGCCAGTCAGCAATGAGCCGGCCCACCCAGGGATCTGCAGAAACATCCATCCTCCTGACCACCACTCTGCCCCTGCTGCTGCTCTTGCTTCTTCCCCAAGGAGAAAAGTGATGCTCAGAGAGAGGTGGGTGGTCCCGCCCGAAGTGGCAGAATCTGTTAACTTTCTCCCCCAAATCTGATCCCCACCCCTTCTTCCCTAGTATTGGAGTTCTGGCTGGGCACACGGCAGCCCAGCAAGAAACTACATATCCCAGCCTCCCTTGCAGCTAGGTGCGGCCATGTGACTCAGTTCTGGCCAATGGGAAACGAGCAGAAGTGATGGCAACTCCACGTCACTTCCTTTAAGGGAACTGCTTGCCCTGCCCTTTCTTGCTCTCATCCTGTCCCACGGGCTGGATGCAGACAGAGTAGCGGTCCACTTGGACCACGTGGACAAGGAGGACCTCCTCGGGTGCGGCAGAGCAATAAGATGGAAGGAACCCAGGCCCTGGGTGGCCTTGTCTTTCAGAGCCCACTCACCCTGAGTGTTACGTGTGAGAAACATAAACGCCTGTCTTGTTGCCGCCACTGTCTCAGGGGGGCCTATTTGTCACAGCAGCGTAACCTGGACCCTGACTGATATGCTCTGAGTCACATGGCTGCTAAGTGGCCAGGGCCGGGTGGGCGGGTGCCTGGAAAGGTCCAGCAGGCCTAGAGGGTTCACCTTGGTGATGTCCACGGGCAGCCCGCTGCGGGAGGCCTCCAGCATGGGCTCCAGCCCCTTGGCCTGCCGCAGGAGCATCTTGGCGCCCTCCACGTCATTCTTCTGCTTGGCTCGCAGCGCGGCCTGCAGGAGTTGCTTCTTACGGCCCTCCAGGAAGGCCAGCTGCTGCTGGGCTGTGGGCACAGGGCGTCTGCGGGTGCTGCCCAGCCCACAGCCAGGCAACGGGCAGCCGGGGGAGGGCACACCTACCTCTGGTGGATGTGCCTTTGGGGGCTGCCTTGGCTGCTGGGGCGGATCCTGACTGGGGTGCCCTGGAGGGTGGGGCCTTGGGCTGGGCTGTGGGGGCTGGAGGGCTGTTGGGCTGCTGAGGGATGGAAAGAAGTCAGAGCTCTCCCAGCACCAAAGGGTCAGGGCCCGCCACCGACAAGAGTGACCGTCGTAGTTTCTGTTTCCTTGCACTGAACACACGTTCGCTCCTGTTCTAGCTGAATCTTTGCAACAACCCTGGCAGGTAGGAACTATTGCTATTACTATGCCCACTTCACAGATGAGATTGAGGCTCAGAGAGCAAAATGACTTGCCCAGAGCCACACAGCCAGGAAGTGGCAGGGCCAGCTCGAGGCCAAGACTGTCAGGGCTTTGACGGGCTGCCCCTCCCTGCCACACCGCAAGGCCCCGGCCCCTCACACCTTCTTAGGCTCCTCATCGTCTTCGTCCTCTGGGCCTTCATCCTGGTTGGCCAGCTTCATGGCGGTCTCCAGCACTCCCACCAGGCTCTGCTGGGCAGGCTCGCTGGCCTCCAGGCCCTGGATGGGGGGAAAGCCTGGGCGGCCAGGCAGGGCCTGGTCAGGAGGGAGAGACCCACACCACGATGGTGGAGATGTGAGTTCCTCTTCCTCCTAAGGAGCCGGGGCCTTGGAATCTACTTTGAGTCCAGGAAGGAGCTGCTGCTGGTTCGGTGTAGACACCAGACCACCCCAACCCCCCTCTCGGGGCTTGACCAGACTCCAACGAGCAAGCACCGTGTGAGGCGGCGTGCTGGCACAGGGGTGGTCCTGGGCCTGGTGGGACCCCGGGGGACCAAGGTGCAGAGAGAAAACTGCTCTCATGGGGGACACACAGGTGGCTCTGAGAACCCAGGGGAGGCCTCCAACACCCTGGAGGTCTGACGGGGGCTCAGGAGATGTCTGTAAAGCTGAGAGCTGAAGACTAGGAAGGAGCAAATCAAACAAAGAAATGGAAGGATCAGACAGCAGTGGGCTGGGGACCAGGCTCTCCAAATAAACCCCTAATTCTTAGTGTTTGCCAATTTCCATGGTGTAAACACTCCTGTCGTGACCGATTTCAAGCTACGAACTGTCTAACAAGCTTGCGGAATCCCTGAAGGCGTGGGATCCGCTCCCTGAGCCTGCACACTTGGAAGGATGAGCACCCGAAAGGCTCAGCAGCTGGCGGGGGGCAGGGCGGGGCCTACCTGGGGGCACGGGCAGCGCGGCCACATCCACGGCTCGGCCAGCTTTGTGGGCTCGGATGGCATCTTGGTATTGCTGTGGGGACATGGGTGTGAGGGCCACCCTCGCCAAGTCTGCAGGGCCACCCCCCCACCCCCTCAGCCCACGCACCTTGAGGATGCGCTCGTGCATGCGAGCCTTGCGCTCGTCTCCTTTGGCCTTGGCCTGGGCTGCGGCCGTGCGGTAGCGCTCCATTCGCTGCTCCAGCGCCTCCAGGAGAGTCCGCGGGGCTGGGGGAACCTCTGGGCCAGAGGAGGGCAGGATTAAGAGTCTAGGGCAGGGCAGACTGTCTTGCCCCGGCCTGCCCACCCCAGAGTGTCCCGGGAGCCTACCTGGCGTGGAGGGCACGGTGGCGGGAGCTGGAGGCTGCGGTGGTGGTGATGGTGGGTCTGGGGGCAGCTGGTCTGGGGGCAGAGAGGTCCAGTCCAGTGAGAGTGGCCACCCTCCCCCAAGGCTGGTCTGGCCTGAGGGGGTCCCCAGGCCCGACCGACGGGGGTGGCAGCATCAGGAGGCGGAGGCCTCCAGCAGTCCTGGAGGGAGGGCAGGATGCGCTCCTCACCAGGTGGAGGGGGCAGGTGGGACAGGTCCACAGGCTCCCCCCGGCTCAGGGCCTCTAAGACAGCGTCACAGCTCTGGAGAAGGAAGCAGATCAGGCGAGGAGGCTGCAGCGGGGGCCAGACGTTCTGGGAAGCCTCCCCATCCGCCATGCGGCAGACTCCCAGCTCTGTCCCTCCCTGTGCACCACCTTGCTCAAGCCTCTTCTGACACTTAAGCCCATTTCACAGAGGGGGTAAATGGAGGCTTCAAGAGGTGCAGCAAAGTACACCTAGGGAGTGACAACCCGGGATTCAAATTTAGGTCTGACTGACTCTGGAGCCCACGTTCTTTGCCACCACGCAATGTGAGAAGCACTCTGTGCTCTCCCTCCGGCTCTGCCCGTCCGTCTCGACGCACCTTGGCCACGCGGAAGAGTCTGGTGGCAGCGGCGGTGTCTCCCTGCTGCTTGGCGTGGAGGGCAGCCAGCTTGTACTCATGTTGGCGGCTCTGCAGCTGGGCCAGGGGGCCAGGGCTGCAGGGACCTGGAGGGGAACAGCACACAAGAGGCAGCACAAACCATTTCTATTTTATTCTCACGACAAAGACTGTTCTTGGGGCCATTGCACAGATGTGAAAACGAAGGCTCAGAGAGGGGATGCTGCCTCCCCAAGGTCACATAGCTGGAGGACGGCATGGTGGGGACCCCACCCCAGGCTGGCAGGCTCTGGAGCCGCCACTGTTCTGTCCACAAGAGAATTTTGGCAAACCGTATGTAGCCTTACACACTTTTAAGTTGACATCCAAAGTTTTTCATCTTAAGTTTAAAAAGTGGCCAAGGTTGTCATTCCCAGTGTCCTGCAGATATCGACACGTGAAAAAGAAAACCGCCACACCACTCTTCCAGATCCAGTGCATCTTCACCCCCACGGTGATTTGAAACTCACCAACGTTCACTCTTTATTTTGCTTTATAAAATTGTGGTAAAATGCGTACAACATATAATCCACCATCTTAACCCTTTTTAAGTGTACAGCTCAGTGGCATTAAGTACACGCCCATTGCTGTGCAGACATCACCACCATCCATCTCCAGAACTCTTCATTTTGCAAAACAGAAAACTCTGTCCCCATTAAACACTAACCCCCCCTCCCCTCCCCCAGGCCCTGGTGCCCCCACTCTGCTTTCTGTCTATGGATCTGACTCCTCTAGGGACCTCAGGTCAGTGGAATCATATAGCATTTGTCCTTTTGTGACTGGCTTATTTCACTTAACATAATGTCCTCAAGGCTTATCCATGTTGTTGCATGTGACAGAATTTCCTTCCTTTTTAAGGCTGACTAATATTCCATTGTATGGATGGACCACATTGTGTTGATCCATTCATCCACTGATGGACACCGGGTTGCTTCCCCTTTCGGCTACTGTGAATCCTGCTGCTGTGAACACGAGTGTACAAATATCTCTTTGAGATCCTGCTTTCAATTCTTCTGAGTATATACCAACATTTACTTTTTAAATAAATCCCAGGTTCACTTTCAGCAGTCAGGAATTTCACTTCTTCTCTTATTTACATCCACATCCCCCAGAATTGCATCCTAACACGATACACATAGGTACTTGACAGCCTTTGTGGGACCACCCTATTGTACATTTGTGCAACCAAAGCACATCGACGTGGCGAGGCAGCAAAGCTGGGAGACAGGATGAAGCTGCTTCTCCCATGGCACGCTAGTCACTGTTTCAAACCACATGCTCAATACGTTGTCAGGGGAAGCCTCTCCCAGTTGAAAGCAATAGGTACAACTGTTGGTATAAAAATGCCAAGTACAACAGATACACCACCCAGTATCCACACAGCCTAGAAAACCCTGGAAAACAGCACGCCTTGTACTTTTCAGACTGACAGCTGGACCTGGTGCTTTCAGCTCAGGCGGACCTGCCTGGGAAGGGGTCTGCAGGGGAAGCCAAACACCTCCACACTGATCGGTTTTATTTCCCGTCATCACAAGTCTCTCAGTGTTAACAAAATTTTCTTCCGGGTTGAGTTACTGTCACAATTATCATGAGCACGTAACTGAGCACAGCCTAAGCATATGGAGCTTTCTGATCAATACTCTTTACGGGCCGAGGGGGAAATCCGATTGGCAGGGCACCTCTCGCTGACAGTGTCAGGGCCGGGCCCACCCCTCCCAGGACTCTGAGCCCTGCCATGCTCTATGCCAAAAACCCCCTCGAGAAACATTTTTGGTGATTTTGGCTGAGAATTTCAAGTGATGATTTCCAGTAGCCCTCCTTGAACTTCGCCAAAAACAGTGGTTTAGAGACCAGCCTGGCTTTGGACAACCGCTCACTTTCTCAAGCCCAGCAGGGGAGCATGTGCCTCGGGGAGAGCCCCCTTCATATTCTAGAAGGGAGGGGATGGGCGTTCCTTTCCCACGGTGGGAGAGGCTGGCAATGCCCTGAAAGGGAACGGAGCGCTGTCACATGCTGAGACGTTATGCCACGTGAGGGAAGCCAGGCACAAAAGCACACACAGTGCAGGGCTCTACTTACGTGAACTGTAATCCAGAGACAGAAGGCAGAACCGAGGTTCCCAGGAGCTGGGGGAGGCTTACGGGGAGTGGGTCTAATGGGGACAGAGCCTCTGCTTGGGGTGGTGAGAGAGTTTAGGAAATAGACAGAGGTGGTAGTTGCACAACATTGTGAAGTGCTAAACGCCACTCGATCACACAATGAAAAACGGTGAAAACTGCAAAGATTAGGTTACATATATTTTACCCCCACCACACAAAAAAACCTCTCTGTCTGCACGGGTCCCCCTGGAAGGTACTAATGAACTCCAGGGACACGAGGACCCGGGAAGGAGAGGGGTGTTAGAGAAATCTAACCATCAGGGCAGGGCCTGTACCCCCATAGAGGCGCCTACCGCAGAATACCGCCCCCTCCCACATCCTGCATCAGCCCGCCCGGCCCCTGGCCTACCTGGGGGCTTAGCCGAGCCCAGAGACGAGGCTGGGGCGCTGAAAGGGGGACCCTCCGTGAACGCCCTGGGCTCCGGCACTGGCGGGGTGGGCGCTGGGGCATCGCTGGGCGGGGCGGCGGGGCCCCTCCCCACGGCCACGGGCGGCGGGATGTCCGCTTCGTCGATGGCGCTGCCCTTCTGGACAGAGGCCAGCAGGTTCTCGAGCGTCTGGGAGGAGGCGGAGCGTGGGTTTCAGAGGAGCTGGACCTGGGAGGGGGCCGTGGCGGGGTCCCAGCACCCTCCTGTCCACCAGCTCACCTTCAGGCCCCGGTCGTAGCGCCGCATCTTGGCGCCATCCCCGGCTTGCCTAGCGCTTTCGATTGCTCTCTGGTAGAGGGCCAGCCTCTCCTGCAAGGTGGCCTCCACCCCGGGGCCCGGGGCTGTGGCCCTGGGCTGCGGGAGGGGCCGGCGCACGGTCTGGGTGGTGACCCCACGCGGGCTCCCCGCAAGCTCCCTTGGTGGAGCGCCTACTGCATACCGGGCACGTCACCCTGGGCCACCACCCCCACCCTAGCAGGGCAGAAATCATGTCCCCATTCCCAGAGCAGGTGTCCTGTCACTGCCCAGCGTCACATGGCCTTGAGGGGCAAGGGAGGGCCTTGAACCCGGGCTGCAGGGAGCAGGGTGGTCGGCGCTATACCTGGGCCACAGGAGGGGGGCGCTCCAAAGTCTTTTGCTCCTCCCCAAGGACCTCATTCAGTTCCGCCTGTAGGGACACGGCCGGGCCGGGCGTGAGGACCCTCTGGACGGGACAACGGGAGGGGCGGCCCCTGCCGGCCCGGGCGCTCACCAGCAGGTCGCCATCAGCCTCCACATCCTCCTCGTCCGTCCCCTCCTCCTCCTCGTCCAGGTCTCTCATGCACAGGCTGGCCATCTTCTCAATGGCCTCCATGGGCAGGGGACCTGGCGGCAGGGGGAGGCCCAGCTGGACCGGGATCTTTCACCAGTCCCCGGCCTCCAGTCTCCATCACCCACGGCCCCAGAGAATAGGGTAGCAGGTAGGGGGCAGCACGGCCCCCTCCCCGGCCTTCCATGGCACCCTACTGCTCCCAGGCCCACCCTGCATGGTCCCGCTCCCTGCTGACCACACCTGCCTCATCTCTTCCTCATCATGCCTGAGTCTGAACCCTGACTCTGCCACGTTCCCACTGCGGACCTTGGGCAAGTCACTTCACCTCCCCGGGCCTCAGTCTTCCCATCTGTTAGATGGGGGCAACTACAGTTTCTCCCTCACAAGGAGACTGTGGGGACCAAGGTAAATGAAGCTCTCAGAACAGCATATTGTCAGTATTTTGTCATTCAAATGTTTCTCGTTATTCGCAGTAGTTATGGTCTATAAAGTTGTCGTGAACACTGAATTAGCGAACACTGAGCCATCACTCCTAGAAGAAATAGAGAGTTAGGGGGCCGGCCCCGTGGGTTAGCGGTTAAGTGCGCGCGCTCCACTGCTGGCGGCCCGGGTTCGGATCTGGGCACACACCAACACACCGCTTCTCCAGCCATGATGAGGCCACGTCCCACATACAGCAACTAGAAGGATGTGCAGCTATGACATACAACTATCTACTGGGGCTTTGGGGGAAAATATTAAAAAAAAAAAAAAAAGAAAGAAATAGAGGGTTAGGTTCCGGCAAGCCTCTGGACACTATTTCCATCAACCGGTCAATACGTGATCTTGTTTTATGTGCGTTTCTGTTTAAAGACACCTTATTTACTATATATTGTTGATTTGTTAACACTGAACTCAAGGCCAACGGCACCGTAACTCAGGCCTGAACGAAGTTCACCACACACGTACTTTCTACGTAGGGCACATCACAGCCTCTTGTGCTCAGGGACACGAGACAGCACTTCAGCACTATGCCTGGGGCCCTTTTGAACAGCAAAATCACCAACAAAAAGCACCAAAATGAGAAAAATGCGGCACTAAACAGACTGAGGACAGGACATGTTTACAATATGATGAGAGGAAACAGAGCGTCACCTGGCTCTGCCTCAGCTGGGAACGTGCGTGTCGGGTGACTAACTTTTTGTGACTCGGTGCATGCCCGTGAATGACTGTGAAAGCACCACAGACAGTGATTTTGGTGTTACAAACAAATGGTAGCCAGTAGGTAAATTCACAAATACGGAATCCATGAAAATGAGGATTGACTGTATTAGCTAGAAACTGTGCAGGCTCCGTTTGCCCTCTGAGCGCCAGCCCCACTTGAGCACTGCAGAGTCCACTGGCCCTGCCATCTCCCCCAGGGCCTTTGCACATGCTGTGACTCCTCCCCAGCTCTTCACCTGGCCCTCTCCAGGGTGGGTGCCTCCTCCGGGAAGCCACCCTCTCCCATCACTCAGTGCTTCCCCCACCCCGCCCTGAGCACAGGACAGCAGGCTGGAGGACATGCTAGGCCCTGTGTCAAGTGCTTTACGAACATTAGGAGATTAACTCCTGTGATGTAAGGGTAGTCATTATTCCCATTTTACAGATGGGGAAACCGAGGCCCACACAGGTGCTGGAACTCATCAGGTCACACAGCCAGTAAGTGGCAGAGCTGGGATTCCCAACCTCACTCTGAGTCCAGAGTTGATTGCTTAACCTCTTACCCAGACTGTAGGTTCCGGGAGGGCAGGGCCCTTCTCCGTCTCCTTTCTTTGTCTCCCCAGCGCCCAGCTCCGAGCCTGGCTCACACTGGAAGCTCAGAAAATCTTCAAGGGCGTATTGAAAGTCTCACCTTTGCCTTTGAGCTTCTCCAGGGCTTGCGGCTGGCCCCCCACCAGAGCCAAGAACTCGGCCTCCAGTTCCTGGTCATTAACTCCGTCCTCGGGGATCATCAGGCCGTCTGGAGAGAGGTCAACCAGCAGGCCCAGCTGCGGGAACAGCGAGGGTCCAGTCAGACCCCGGGATGTATCCCACCTGCCCAGAAGGCAGCCATGATGGGCCTGGAGTCCCCACGGGAGGAAGGGGACCCAGGGCTCCAGGGAAAAGCCATTTCCCTGGGGAGTGCCAGGAAGCTGGAACAGGCCCAGAATGCAACAGGTGTCCCCAGATGGGCCAGCCCTCTGGCACAGATCAACACGGGGCAAAGAGCAGGTAGAGAGACCCAGCTCGCTGCTCAGAGCCCACGCCTCTGACGCGCTGCTCGCCGAGTTCGCTGGGGACAGCAGGCTCCTCACCCTGCTCCAGAGCAAAGCCACTGCGCACACCTGGGCTTTCCCTCCTAGCATCCTCAGCAGAGGGAGTCACGCAGCAGGGTTGGAGGCATCAAAAATAAATAGAATCCCTGACAACATGTAAAAGTTGGAAGTGGTGTCTTTGCTGTGTAACAGACCTGTCTTCCTAACCTGGCTAATCACCAATCACGATGTGATAATGTTGAACTGTACAAAATGGGTCAAAAATGGCCAAATACCAGCAATCACATATAGTTGCATCTAATAGTAATAATGATGATAACACTTATGGAGTGCTATGTTCTAGCACTTTCCATAAATGATCTCAATGAATTTTCACAACTGTCTGGGACATAGGCACTCCTATGGCCTCCATCTTACAGATGAGGAAACTGAGGCTTACAGCTGTGAAGCCAGGCAAAGCACAGAAGCCAGGAGGGAACTTCAGGTTGGCCAGCCTCTAATAGCTGGGTACTAAGCTATGGGCTGGGCTCCTTCCATCAAAGCTGAGAAGCAAACTCTCCCCACGCCCAGAGCAGGGGAGATGAGGCAGGCAGACGAGGCCCAGCCCCAGTCTGTGGGCTCACGGAGGCAGCTCTGGATCTGCACTTAGCTCTGGCCAAGCTGTTAATCCCTATGACCGCAGCAGGGTCTTCACCTCTCTGGGCCTCAGTGTCCTCATCTGTACAATGGGGACCAAAAGAGTCTGACCTGGCTGGCTGATGCCAGGGTTGGATTGGCGCTGGGGCCAGGCGCACAGTAGCTGGCCTTCTTACCCCAGGTCCCAGGCCTTCCCTCCTGGACGCGAGCTGCCGCGGCAACAGGTGGCCCTCAGCTCGGGGCAGGGCGCCAGGAGCTGGGGAGCTGGGGCCGGTAGGCCGCACCGTGGGGGCGAAGCTCACCTGGTGGGCGGGGACAGGGGCTCACCTGGGGTTGGAGATCTGGTTCACCTGGAGGGTGGGGCCCACCCCTGAACGTGAGACGGGGTGGGGAGGATACCTTCAGCAGGGCCGGGGGTGGGGGGCGCGGGGGGTACAGACTCACCTGGCGGGCGGCGGCGGCGCCTCGGCCCGGGGGTGCCGGGGGTCCTTTCCTCTTGTGCATCTTCCAGGCGGGATGCCCAGGCCACCAGCCCCCTCGCCTGGCCTTGCCCTGTCTCCTACCCCGGGGCCTATCGCCGCGCACGCGCCCTTCCTGAACCCCGCGCCTCTCTTTGGCGCCCGGCGACCGCCGACCCCGCACCCTTGGCTCCCGGGGTGGCTGCCCCACTTCGGCCTCGGCCCTCAGGCGCCGCGGCACCTGAACTCGGCCACCAGACTTGCCGGGCCCACCACGCTGAAACTACAACTCCCGGCAGGCAGTGCGCGAGTACGCATGCGCACTGCGGGGCGGCGGGCGGTGCCACGGGTTGCGCGGGAAAGAGGCGGAGCGTGCGCGAGTGAGGGGCGGTGCTAGCATCGCGCATGCGCGCGGCGGGGCCTCGCAGTGCGCGGGAAAGAGGCGGGGCGCACGCGGGTGACGGGGGAGGCGGCGTCCCACGGCCTCCTACGGGCTCCGGCCTCACCTGGCGGTCTCGGTCTGGGCAGTCCTCACTTTTCAGTGGCCGGGGTGGGGCTAGTGTGGGCCTGGTCACCGGAAGCCGGGTCCACAGCGCTCGGGCCCCGGCCCTCAGGGGCCTCCTGGCCCTTCGGCTCCAGCGCCCCGGCTGCCCCGTCTCCGTGAGGGCCTACTGGTGTTTTCCCCCCAAAATTAACGCAAATGATTTAACCGACTTGTCCCCCAGCAGATCCAGGCCGACCTCCCTAGTTCCCGATAAGGACAGCGAGACCTGACCACTCCTTGCGCCCAGGTCGGTGTGGGCTCATCGGCCCCTGAGGCGACTCCGGCCCCTCCCAGGCCCCAAGCATCCCCGAAGGGCCCGCCACTCCTCGAAGGGCCCCAAGTGGCCCCTCTGAAGTCCCCAGGTGTCCCGGGAAGGGTCCTGGAGACCCCTGTCTGGAGGAAGGGGGCTTCACACACGCCGCCCCGACTTAGGGACGAGATCCCGGGTCCCCAGGGCTTTCCACGAGGACCCGGTGCCCACGTGCGCGGAGGCCCTGGGCAGGCGCCGGGCAGTCCCCGTCCCCTCCGCAGCGCGCAGGTTCCACTTCTTCCCCGGCCACGGCCGACGTGGCTGTGGCTCCCGCCCTGTGCCCTCGTGGGGCCCAGCTGACCCCTCGGAGCAGCCAGATGGGCCGAGGTGGGCGCGGGGGGCTTCCGCCCTCAGCGAGGCGGGGGGGTCTGCGCCCAGGGGCGGGGACTGAGTGTAATGCTGGGGTTTGGCTGGCTGTTTTCAGGTTTCTCAAGGAAGGATAACATGAGTAAGAGGAAGAAGGCTCGGACCTCAGGTACTTGGACGTTCGGGTGGACACCTCTTTAGTGCTGCCTCTGCTGGTGGGAGGAATGTGGGCTTACTGATTGCAGAGGTGCTGCCATGACCACACCAAGCTCCTTAAGAAGAAAGTGATGACTTAATACGTGCCGGTAAGGAAAGTATAAATTACGGAGGAGTGCATACAGTGAGAAGGGAAAGCTTCGTGGGGCTTCCTGGAGCCCCCGGTGGGATCCCACAGCCTTCGGGGCGGTGTGCCACCCCCCTGGGGCCCACTCTCAAAAACGACCCCTGGATAGGGCTTGACGTGCTGCACGGCCATCTGGTGTGTGGCTAAGTGCTTTGCTCTTGAGCCAAAACCTGGGTTCCTCCCAGCTCTCCTGCTCACTGCATGATGGCAGATGATGTACTCTGGGCCTCAGTTTCCCCTTTCTGTATATAGGATCCTAAGAGCACCTACCCTTCCTTTAGTGATTCTCAACCTGGTCAGGGAGGAATTTGCCCCCTAGAGGACATTTGGCAACATCTAGAGACGTATTTGGTTTTCACAATTGTGTGTTGGGGGTGGTACTGTCATTTAGTGGGTGAGGCCAGGGATGCTGCTCAGAATCCTACAGCGCCCCGGATGGCCTGTATGACCCAGAATGATGCAGCCCCGGAGGTCAGCTGTGCCGAGGTTGAGAGCCAGGCCCAGAGCTCACACGTGGCTTAGTATTTGCAGAGCACCGAGAGTAGACCCCAGGGAGGACACCGATGCATGCTGCTGTTATGATTGCCCTTCCAGGCTTTTAAGAAAACTTCATTTTGAAATAATTTGGGGCTTACAGAAAAGTTGCAAGAAATAGTTGAGAGTTCTGTCTCCCCTTCCCCCAGCTTCCCCTAACATTGCCGTCTAGCAAAACCGCAGGACGGTGATCAGCCATGTAGTACAGCATAAAAAACCAGGAAATGAACCTCGGTACACTGCTGCTTCTAAACTTTTTCTGTGTGTACGTAAATAGAGTGTTTTTATTGGAAAATTGAGTCATCACACGTTCTGCTCTGCACCCTCCGTTTTCCACTTCCTGGTAGATCAAGATTGTCTTTACTTGTCAATATACACATAGAATTTCCTTGTTCAAAAAGAAAGATGGCCCATATTACATGGTATGGTTCCATTTCCTTGTTATTGTCTAAGGTAACTTCAACTTCTCAAAAGTTTAGAAATGACTTCTTTACTGAGTGCTTAATGAACTTAGGGAGGAACACTCATTTTTTTCCCAAGATGTGGGATAGAAAATTAATTACCAACGGGTTGAAATGTTTTTGTGCAGAGATGTGCAACAGGCTGCTTGGAGGCACAGGAATTTCTCTGACCTGGGGGGAGCCGGGGACAGGCCCACCCACAGCAGGTCTCTTGGGGCCTCTCTTGGCAGTGGACTCCCCGGGTCAGTGGCCCCCTGGGCCGGCCCGGGACAGCAGTTTCTGTGTGTCCTGGATGGGGTGGAGAGAGAGACAGATGATTCTGGCAGGTGGTGAAAGAGGCCGTTTCCCTGCACTACACAAGGTTTGGCCTTCGTTTTTCTTAAATTAGTCTTGTGGGGACAGATCACCGGAAGGAAAGGGGAGGCTCTTCACTTCTGTTGATATTTTTGCTTTTTATTTGGCACAAATGTTCATTGGACAAGCAAAGCGAGCTAGTGTTTGGGCATCTTAAGAAACCAAGTAAACGAAGCTGCTGTATTTTGCCTTTTTTGGCAAGCCTCAAGGTGGGAATGTGTTAGTGTAAGAAACGTGGGTCGGAGCCTGGCTCTAGAGGCAGTGCTGGGGTGGGCACCTGGGGGGCAGAGGCAGGGCGGGGATGAGGTCAAAGGGTGCAGGGGACTCGGTTCCTGCCCTCAGCACCCTCAAGGTCTAGTCGGGAGAAAGGAAAATGCTCCTCATGGGGAGAGCTAACTGAATACACGGCAGTGGAGTACAGTTCTAAATGGCACGCATGAACCGTACCGTATGGACAGAGTTAGGGGAAATGACAGGAAGGCGCTGCCGTCTAGTGGAGTGTGAACAGCCAGGGGAGTGCTGAGGAGGACCCCGGCGTCGGCGTTGGGAGGAGGGAGCAGAGGTTCAAAAGGGTCTCCCTCCCTGAACCCAGAAAGATCAGGCCTGGGTCTGGTTAGTCTTTTTGTTCTCAGAAGCACAGTACACAGTATGTGCTCAGTAAATGCTCAAGTACAGTGAAGTGTGCAGGCTCTGGAGTTGGACTGCCTGCATCCCAGTCCCGATCCCTTGGCTCCATGTGCCTTGGGTTTCTGATCTGTAAAATGAGCATCACAGCAGGACCCTACCTCAAAGTTTTGTCTTGACGCACCCAGGTTGTCAGGCCAGTGTCTGGCGTGGAACTCACCAGAGTCAGCCCTTAGCATTTGTTCATTGAATCGGTGATTAAGTCGGGGTCAGGTTTGGGGAGGTCGTCCAAGCCAGCCGCTGGTGGCAGTTTCTGTGCAAGGGAGTTTCCTTCATTCAACAAATAGCTGTTAATAAGCACCTTTAGGTTCTAAGTTGCACTCAGCGATGGGGAAGGCATTGCAGAGATGTAAGGGAGCAGGGGCGGCCGAGACATCACCTTGGCACTCGATGACTCGGGTCCCAGCTCTCCCGCTGGGGGTGCTCTGCGGACGTCGAGAAACTAGAGGGCACGGGATCCAGTGCTGGCTGCATCTCCCGGGGGGTGGTCTCCTGGATGCTCTTCTAGGCACGGGGGACCCTGCAGACCAGGCCCCTCCTTGCATGGAGCACGTTGTAGAGGGGGGCCAGAGAATGACCCAGTCCATGGGGTCCTTGCAGGAAAGCTGTGGCGTGAAGGAGGCAGAGCCTGGGGCTGCAAGGGGGTGCTCTGTGCAGGAGTCAGGGGTGGCCCCTCTGCAGGGACGTTTGAGCTGAGACTCGGAGGAGCCAGCACGTACCTCCTGCCACTTCCCCAGAGAGACCGGCTGGGCCAGGGTGTCTCGGGTGGTTTGGAGCCGCGCCAGGCTCCCTCAGGATTCAGCCACAGCCACGACCAGGCCGTAGGGAAAAGGCCTTAGCATCCCATGGCCGCGTAAGCCCCTAGGTCCCACCTCCTGGACGAGGTTGCCTCCCGTCTCTCGCTCTCCAGGCGGCCGTCGGAGCAGGGGTGTCCTGGCCTTGGACGAGCCTGCTCGCTTGGCCGCGGTGGTCCTGCCTTGTTTGGTTGTTTCTAACACGCCACCCTTTCATCTCCCTTTGTCTCTAACCAGGAGGAGAAGGAATCCGTCCTCCGAAACCCCCAAAGAACTTGAGGCTAGGAGACTGTGACGGGGCCCCCCAGAGTTCCCAGTCGGGCCATTTACATCACCCTGATGAGTCAGAAGGCAGCTCAGGACCCGCTTCCTCTGCAGAGCGGAGCAGGGAGGAGCCAGGACAGGCAGCCTCCAGGTAGGTGGCTGAGAACCTTCCAGCAGCCTCCCTGATGACAGCACAGCACAGGGGCCAGTGCACAGGGTGGGGGAGCGGGGGGACCAACACAACCCGTCCCATGCGGTGCCTCCCCCGGGGGCTCAGGGCCCTCAGACTGTGCTTCTTGAAGCTTTCCTCCCAGGACTCGCTTCTCCAGCAAGAAAGGTCGATATTTTAACCACAGGCGAGGAAAACCTCCAATTTCCAAAGTCACTTAGTTACGGATGCAACAGCATGTCCTGTCTGCTGGCCTAATCCGTATGTATCCCACGTTCCTTCTCAATCAAGAAGGGACCAAGGAGTCGTGGGTCTGCGAAATAATGACTAGTAAAAGGGAAAAACAGTCATTGTGTGCCAGGCAGCGAGTTAATAATAAGCCCTTTACATACATCAGCTCGTTGGATCCTCGCAGCTGTAAAGTCAGTTTTTCTCCCCATTTGACTGGTAAGGACCCTGAGGCTTCAAGAGAGCAAATGACTTGCCCAAGGCCTCTGAGCTGGTGCAAGGCCGGGTCTGAGCTGGCTGCGTCTGGCTCTGTTTCCCCAGTTCTTTAATTTTTTCAGGGTATATGTCATTATGCACAGTGGGGAAAAAGAAAGACCTGGAGAACAGTTTAGTCTGTCCACAGGGTTAAACCACACATAACTTGAGCAAAGTAGGAAGGGTTAGCAGGAGTTAGGAGAAGAGCGGTTCCTGCCAGCCAGAGTCTTCAGAGAAGGCGTCGTGGATGGGACTGCCAAATTTTCTGAATTAGAAATTGAGGCATGTGGGCCGCTGACAGAGCAGTTTTCTCGGGGGCCGGGGGTGTGCGTATCTGATCTCAGGTCATTGCAGTCTGAGGACTGAAGGCAGCCCTGTGTGTGTGACATGAAGAGGGGCCATGTGTCACAGCCCTTCTCCCAGACAGACACCGCGGTGTCACCACGCCCCTCACTCCCGGAGAGGCCAACAGGGCCCACGGGGTCTCGGCTGCTGCCCGCCCTGCCGTCTGAGTCCACGGGAATGGAGCCCACAGAAGTGGGTTCCCACCCTCTTTTTTTCTGTTGTTTTTTAAATGTTTTATTAAGAAGTACCACATGCACAGAAATATAACACAGGAAAAAAAAGAACAGAAAGCAAACAAGCTGAACACATGCGTGTTGAGAAATGACATCTTGCCAGCAGCACCCCAGAAGCCTCCCGTGGAGCAGACTGTTGCCATCAGCATCTAGGCTCGTTCTGTCTCTGTAACCTGCCCGGGCACAGCGCAGGCCCCTTAGCGTGTCCTCGTGCCTCCTCCTGCTCCCCTTCCAAAGTTGAAATCGTGTAAGTTTCAGTTCCAGATGTCGATCTTTTTTTACCATATACATAGCCACATTTATTTAGATATAGCCATAAGTCTCACTAGTTTTTTTTTTTAAGAGCAGTTTAGTTTTCTCAAGCAGTTTTAGGCTTACGGTAAAATGGAGATTTCCCACATACCCCCGGCCCCCACACATGCACGGCCTCCCCCATTATCACCATCACTGACGGGAATGGTGCATTTGTCACCAAGGATGAACCTCCGTGGACACCTCATTGTCACCCAGAGTCCGTAGTTGACATGAGGGCTCACTCTTGGTGTACATCCTGTGGGTTTGGACAAATGGGTGGTGACGTGTTTCCACCATTATAGTGTCATATGGGGTATTTCACTGCCTTGAAAATCCTTGCCTGTTCCTCTCCCTCCCACCTCAGCGACCACTGATCTTTTTACTGTCTTCCTAGTTCTGCCTCTTCCAGAGCGTCACCGAGTTGGAATCACACAGGCCACTGTCTTCTCAGATGGCTTCTTTCACTGAGGAACACGCACTTAAGGCTCCTGCACGTCTGTTCATGGCTGCAGAGCCATTTCTCTCCAGCGCTGAGTACTGCCCCGTTGTCGGGAGGCACCACAGTTTACTCATGCGCTCCCCTGCCGCAGGACGTCTCTGTGGCTTCCACGTTGCGGCAACTGTGACTGCGCCGTGTTTTGGACCCCGTGTTTCCCGCATGTGCACTTCCCTCCTCTGGCATTGGCAGACGTGGGGCTGGGCCGTCAGTCCACATGAGAATTCCTGTTCTCTCTGCAGGAGCGCCTCCTGGGCTTGTAGGGCAGAGGTGCCGCTCACACCCCGGCTGTGGGGCTCCGCATGCTTCCTGGCGGTTAACGTTGCAGGGTGCTGCCCACCCCCCTCCCTCCAGGCAGGGGCTCCAGGCCTCCCTCAGAGGAGGCTCTGAGCACTACTCTGCCTTCGGAGCTCCTTCCTGTCTTACGAAGCATGTTGGCAGCCTCGGAGGACTTCAGAACCTCCTCTGTTTTGTCTTTCTCCGCCCAGCTCCCCTGAGGAGGAAGCAGGAGCCCCCTCCAGGCTCCTCAGGCAGCCAGAAGAGGAGCCAGGGCGCCTGCCCCCTTCCCAGGTGAGCCGGTTCGCAGCCTCGCGCTTGCACAGAAGAGCTGGCCCCTGCAGCTGGAGTCCGTGTTCCTGCTCACTCTGCCCAGGCGGGCTCGGGAGAGCGTGCACAGGGATGGGGGCAGGGGCCGCGTTGGAGGCTGGAGAAAGGAACGGGCCTTGCTGTTTGGTTTTTCCTGGGCCTGCCTTCCTCCCTTATCTTTACTGCCGCTTTGTTCTTGTTTCTGGTTCACAGACCTCACTTGGGAGGTTCGTGCCTCAGTTTGCAAAGCCCAGGAAGACGGTTACAAGACAAGCCGCCCGGAGGGCAGAGGACCTCGGGAGTGGGGCCTGTGGCTCGGTAAGGCCTTAAAACCGGCCGGGCAGAGCACTGTAGGTGCGCGGCCCCTTGGCCTGGCCTCGCAACTGTGTTCAGCCTGCGAGAGGCTCTCCGGACAGCTGCGCCTGCGCGGGAGGGTCGCAGCCAGAGCCCTCTTGCCCAGGGTGCGTGCGAGTCGTAAAGCCCAGAGGGGCAGCCCACATTCCAACCCTGAGACTTTTGTGTGAGTCGGGGTCGAGGGCGTTGCCAAGTGCTCTCTCGTCCTTTCCACCCTGAGCTCTGGGGCTCACGATGTCTCTGGCAAGACATGTCCCTAGGAAAGTGAGTGGTGGGTGTTCCCAGCAGCTGTGTTTGGAATCGCCCCAACTTGGGAACACCCCAGATATCCCTCGGCGGGTGAACGGTTGAGCAGACCGTGGTCCATCCCCACGGTGGAGCCCAACCCAGCCATAGAAGAGGAGCAAGCTAGTGAGCCACGCAGCCACCTGGGGGATCTCCAGGGCTGTATGCGGCATGGGAAAAGCCAGTCCCAAAAGGTCACAGGCTGCAGGATTGCGTTCACAGGACATGACTGAAGTGACAAAATTATAGAGATGGAGGGCGACTCGTGGTTGTGGGGGCTGGAGCCAGGGTGGGTGGGAGGCGAGTGTGGCTACAGGTGGCAGCACGGGGGTCCTCGTGTTGGAGCTTCTCAGGATCTTAACTGGTGGTGGATCCACAGCCTCCATTGGTGGGAGAACAGTATAGAACTTAGCACACACACGCAAGCGAGGGCAGGGCAGCCGGAGAGCCGAAGAAGGTTGGGGACTTGATCCGTGCCAAGCCCCTGGTCGTGATAGAGTACTGGAGTTATGCCAGATGCTGCCGCGGGGGAACCTGGGCAAGGGGCCTACGAGATCTTTCACTTCAGTTCCTCCCGCTGCATGTGACTCTGCAATGATCTCACAAAAGGTTTAGTTTAATGAGAGGAGGTGGTAGCTCCACCCTCGAGGCAGGAGAGGCTGTGTGACTCCGCAGGCTGGTCGGCAGTGGCCTCACTGAAGGTTGACACGCCGCGACCGTCGCTGGTCCGACACTTGCAGTGCAGACCGCCTCCTGGAGAGGGTGGCCCTGCTCCGTGTGGGGAGGTGACTGTGCAGGAGGCATCCCCCCAGGGTTGGTAACCGTACGACAGAAGCGAGGGAGCAGCTGCTGTCTGCAGGGTGCCCGCGGGTGCAGCCCTCAGTCCCTGCATGCTGGGTTCATTTACTCCAAGTCCAGTTTGAAGGGAGGGCTGACAGTGTGGCTGTGAGCGGAGGGGAGGCGACGGGCAGACTCCAGGGCTAGGGCCCGAATAGCTTGAAGCTCTTGCTGTGAGCTGAGACAGGGAGACTCGGAGGGGACGCTCAGGAGCTGGTGCTGGCCGTGTGACGGCAGCGGTGAGCGGGGATGCCGGGCGGGAGTGTCAGATGCGTGTGTCTGGAGGCGGGGAGACCGGGCTGCGGTGGCTCCCCAGGGGTGAGGGCTGAGCTCCTGGGGGGTGGAGCTGCCGTCTCCCTAAGGGGTGGTGCTCCATCTGCGGCCCGGCCGGGACCCCCCTCCCCCAGCCTGCTCTGCTCCCCTCCCACCTCCATCAGGTCACCTCCCCCGCTTAACTTTGTATCTTGAAATTATAGATTCTTAGAAAGTTACGAAAACAGTATGGACCCAAGTGTCCATCAGTGGATGAATGGATAAAGGAAACACGGTCTGTCCACACGATGGAGTATTATTCAGCCTTAAAAAGGAACGATGGGGGGCCGCCGGGTGGCGCAAGCGGTTAAGTGCGTGCGCTCCGCTGCGGCGGCCCGGGGTTTGCAGGTTTGGATCCCGGGCGTGCACCGATGCACCGCTTGTCAGGCCATGCTGTGGCAGCGTCCCATATAAAGTAGAGGAAGATGGACATGGATGTTAGCCCAGGGCCCAGTCTTCCTCAGCAAAAAAAGAGGAGGATTAGCAGATGTTAGTTCAAGGCTGATATTCCTCATAAAAAAAAAAAGAAAAAAAAGGAACGGTGTTCTAATACATCTTACAACATGCATGAGCCTTGAGGACATTAAGTGATATAAGCCAGTCGCCAAAGGACAAATACTGTGTGATTCCACTTAGGTGAGGTCCCCAGAAGAGTCAGATTCATAGAGACAGAGAGTGGAGCGGAGGTTGCCGGAGGTCGGGGGAGGGACAGTGGTGGTTTACTGGGGACAGAGTTTCAGTTGTGCAAGATGAAGAAGTCCTGGAGACGGACGGTGGTGACGGCCATACAACAGTGTGAATGTACTTTACGCCACTGAGCTGGACCTGTCAAACCGGTCAAGATGGTGAATTTTATGTTGTGCGTATGTTACCACAATTAAAATCCAGCACAGCACAGAGGGCTCCCTGCGTGGCCTCCTGCGGCTGCCCCAGTGGCAACGTCTTGTGTAACCGTGGTCCGGCGCCAAGGCCGGGCAGTGGACACGGGAAAGACCCACGGGTGTTTGTATCCTGGGTGTTTGTATCCTTGCCCTTCCCGAGAGCCTCCACGTGCGGGGGGCCGGCGGAGAGGGGAGAAGGAGCTGGCGGAAGGAGGGACTCCTGTGCCCGTGGTTCCCCGCCACCCCCTGCTCTAACTCTGCCCGGCACTGATACTGAACCCTATTTGGGTGCCCCAGCATCCGCGCAGCAGATGAGTCTTTGTTTAGGGATGGTAACGACTAGAAAAATCCTCAGAGTGCTTGATTTTTGAAGGCCCAAGCCTGGGTCTTTTTGTCTCCACAGGAAGCACCGCCAGAGCCCAGTGCCCAGCAGGCAGAAAGCCAGCCTTGGGAGGAGTCCCTGGGGCATGCTCTCCCGGAAGCCAGGGGGCCGGGAGACCAGACCCAGGCGGACGGCGCCCCCCCTGGGCACAGCAGCCAAAACCCCGTGATGCCAGTGCCCAGCAGTGGGCATCCTCAGCCCTCGGCCTCCACTGATGCCGCTCCAGAATGGGGGACAGTGCCCGTGGCCTCAGAGAGGGCCAGCCAGGGCCACCTGTCGGAGCAAGGGACCAGCACGCCAGATGGTGGAAGCACGGAGGGGGCTTGGTTTCCAGGCGACTGTGGCCAGGAAGGGCACCTGCCGAGCAGTGACACTGAAGAGAAGGAGCCAGACCCAGGAGCCCCCCGGGAGGGAGGTGCCCAAAGGGGAGCAGGGGCTGACCTGCCTGAGGGGCAGCAGGAGGGAGGAGACGGCATCCTGGGCCCGGCCACTCGGGGCCTCCCTGACCCCGTGCAGGCACCCAGTGGGACTGGCGGGGGAGCAGAGCAGAGCTGTAGCAGCCCAAGGCCCTCCTGCCTTGCGACCGTTGTCATCACAGCCGTGAGCACGGACCCCGCCGAGCCAGAACAGAGGGCTCCAGAGGTGGCAGGGCCAGATGGGGAGGCTGCCGTGGGGCCACCTGCCTCTGCTAGCGGGAAGGCCCCTGAAGGAGGCCACAGCAGGGCCCTGCTCGGAAGCGTGTCTCTCACCAGGGAGACCACCGGAGGTAGAGGGGAGGCAGGGTGGGAAGACAGGCCCCCTGATGACATCCCAGAGGGCCCTGCAGCCGCCCTGGCTCTGGCTCATGGGGTCCGAGAGGCCACAGTAAGTGCTGGAGAGGCCAGTCCTCTAGCCTCGGAAGTGGGCCTGGGCGTTGATCAGACACGGGGGCCGGGCGCGGATCAAGAGGGGCCAGGAGGTGTGTGTGCCCGGCCTCTGCTGTCCCAGCCCACGGGTGAAGAGGCAGCCGAGTCAGGCAGCCAGAGCCGAGAGCAAGACCTGGGGGCGCTCCATCTGCCCCTGGGAGCCTCCACTCCGCCAGCACACAGAGGAGCAGTGGACGGCCCGACTTGGGAGGCGGGGGCCGGCCAGGGCTGCCCAGACGTCCCTTCAGGCCCTGCAGGCCATCCTGAGCAGCCTCCCAGCTCTGCAGAGCGGGCCGTCTGGGGAGGGTCCCCGGCCATGGACCTCGACTTCCTGCCCGACAGCCAGATACGGGCCGCCCTGGAAGGCCCCGACTTTGAAGCCCCCCCTGAGCAGGTGAGAGCTTCCCTGAGCTGCAGCCAGACTGTCCCAGGGCAACCCCAACGGCCTTGGGCCCTCCCCCAAACCATCCAGGGTAGGGGAGATGGGCACGTGGTGATCTGATTATACTGCAGACGGGTTTGGGGGTCTGAGTCGTGGCTTCGGTGGGTGTGGACACAGTGATTTTCCAGAAAGGACAGACCTGCATTTCTGTGAGGGGCCCATCCATGTGGGAGCTGAGGAGCCCGGGGCAGGGACACACGGATTTTGTCAGCCCACCCCCCACCTTCCAGTGCCCACGCTGGCTGCAGGGTCCCCCGGGGTATATGGAGGGCGCCAGAAGAAGCCAGTGACCTCAAAGCTGGGCCTGGGGAAGGGGACTTTGCTTCCCAACTGGGAAGAGCCTTTGCCCATCTTTAGGGTCACTTGGGGGCCCTGATATGATTCTTTCTCAAACGTACATGGAATTCAGCTTTTCTGCTGGAACTTGTAGGCCCTTTGCTTTGCTTCCTCTGGGGGTCTGCCCGCCGACAGGCAGTGGGCGAGCAGCCCGACGGTGCCTTCCTGGGCCGTTGGGGTTCGCCTGTCGGGGCAGCTGGCGGCCCCGCCCGGGAAGTGCCCCCTCCCTGGCGCTGGTGCACCGGAGCCTGGCCTGAGTGTGTGCAGCCGCGCCCGCCCGCAGGTGGGTGGTTCTCTTTCCACACAGGTGTGGCTTCGAAGCTAGGCCGAGGCCTGAGGAGGTTGGGCACCTGCCCCGGGGATGCAGCGGGAGGGGCAGGCTGCGTCTGCGCCCTGGTGGGCCTGATCCCATGGCTGCGCCTCAGCTGCCCGCCTGGCCCGTGAGGCCAGCTCCTCCACAAACCTCGGCCTTTGTCTCTCCAGCCGACCCCGTGGAAATGTTTCAAAAACTTCCTTCAGTCCACATTTATGGAGAGCCTGCTCCATGCCGGGAGCCAGCAGATCTGGCGGGTCACCCACCGCGAGGTCTTCCCTCTCACAGAGGAGCATCTGCCCCGTCATCACAGGCTGGGGTGCTGGGCCAACGGGTTATACTGGGAGCCTCGTCCCTTGAGGCACACAAGCGCCGCCCCCAGGGGGAAGAGCCGTCTGAGTTACCCTGGGTCTGGCCTCTTGGGCAGCGGCTGAGGGAGAAGGTGGGGAAGGCAGTTGGGACACTGGGTGGCATCTAGCAGGCGAAGGAGCAAGCCCTTGTGGACAGGCCGCCAGCCCTGCTGGCTTTGCAAACCCCAAGGAATGTGCCGTGCAGGCCGGTCAGACCCGCCGGGCCGCCGGGGAGGCGCTGCCCCGGCCCAGCCGCCGACGCCTGGGCGCGTGTTGTTTTGACACCCGGCGTTCCTGAGCAAGCTAGGGCGGCCCAGGCACAGCAGGTTCCCATGGGAAGGTTCCAGGTGGCCCCCGGCTGGAAGGCCGTGTGGGCAGGGACACTTGGGAACAGAGCAGGTGGATGGGGAGCAGCAGCCTCGCGCCAACAGGCCCCGGACCTCACCTCCCCGTGACGCCACAGGGAGTGCCACTGCGGAGGGGGCGACTCGGGGACGCGCAGAGGCTACACAGCAGTGACAGATCAGCTTCAGTCCCGGTCCCCCACAGGAGAGTGTGGGGCTTCATCTCACAGCAGCTCCCTGAGGACAGGATGCCACCCTAGGGCCGGCGGGGCCTCTGCCTGCTGCATAAGGGCCGTCACTGAGAAAGCTGGGTCCCTCGTCCCTCTCGGGGCCTGTGGCGGTGGCCCCCGCGCATGTAGTGTGAGGACCGCCTGTGTCGTGGCACGTTTACACCATCCTCGGGGCAGTGGTGCCCCTGGCAGGGAGGACGCTTCTCGGCCGAGTACGGTGCAGTGAGTTGGGTGAATGTGTGGCGTGGAATTGCATTTGAAGTCCCAGAGTCGCCCGCAGGACACAGCCGGGCACGTGGAGATACTGTACTGTCTGCAGGGGCTTCCCTGCGGCGCCCCTGCTGGCATCCGGCGGGTCCTTCTCTGTAGGGGCCGTCCTGTGCACTGTGGGGTGTTGGGCACACCCCTGGCCCCACCCACCAATGCCAGTAGCAGCCCCTCACCAGGCATGACAACCACAACTGTTCCCAGACGTTGTGAAGTGTCCCCTGGGCAGAATGGTCCCCAGGTGAGCACCGCAGGCCACGGGCGGGTCTTCATGTCTGGTCCTCTGGATTCAGGGGCCCTTCACTCACCACCACCCCCGTGGAGGGAGAGGGCTCCGTTCCAGAAGATGTCTCTAGAACAGGCCCCTCCCCCAGGACTCTGGTCCCCTCGGGAGAGGCCCGCCAGCCCTGGGCGGCCGCCCTACCTCAGCCTCTTTGCCTCTTTTCCGAGGGACGTATGTCGCCTCCGTAATTGAGCCTGACATTTTCCACAAAAATTAAACCACCGTTGACATTTAGAAATTTAAGCTTCTCAGGGTTATCTAGCTCTCTCTCCTATTAATTATGAATTTTCCTCTCGCAATCTATTTGCAAAATCTTTTCCTGACACAAGACTCGTGGCTTATTTGTCTGACTTCTTCCCCTCGGTGCCAGATGCCCGCTGGATGCCACTGTCACTACCCCTCGGGGTCTCCTCTGTACCTTCTAGGTACTGTGGGATGAGGGGGAGACGGCGCCACGCCTCAGCTGTCAGGGACGGAGTGTGCACAGAGCCACGGCTGGCGCAGGGCAGCCCATTGGAGGGCACAGGCCTGGCGGGGACTCCACGGTCGGGCTCGGCGTTGCCCTGTTCCGCTCACTTTCCAAGGGGCTGGTGGCCCCCAGGTCTAGGTGGCGTGGCGTCCCTCCCCCCGCACCCCTTCTCCTCTGCAGGAGTCCTGGCTGGGTGTTCCTGGTGTGGCCGAGGGGAAGTGAAGTCCCCAGCCCTTTGTGACTTCCTTCGCTGTGCAGGGCTCGCCCAGCTAGGCCGTTCACACCTGCGCTCTCTCTCCAGGTGTTTCCTGCAGGGAGTGGGGTGGGCCTCTGCTGGCCTGGCACTGGCACATGCGCTGACGGAGGCCCCCTGGCTGAGGCCCAGCCGAGGTAAGCGGGGGGACGTGTCGCTGCTCTCCTGGCCCTGGAGCCCCTGCAGGCCCTCACCCGCACCTGCGAGCTCCCTCTGTGTGGCGGAGGGTGGTGGAGAGCCTGACGCCCTCGCCGGGCCTCACTCTCCTCAGTCCATAAGGGCGCCGAGCCCTCTCCTTCACCTTGCACGTGTCGCCTGACCCTCCCCGCAAGTGGCGAACTGGGGACCTGTGGTCTGCACCCAAAGCAGCGTGTCTGCAGGAGCCCTGGGCTGGGGCCCCAGGTCTGTGGGTCGTTTGAGTGCACGTGTGTGTGTGTCTGGAGAGAGGGTCCAGAGCCTTCCCCGGATCTCCACGGAGGGGAGGGGACCCAGACGGCTGAGAACCACTGGCCCAGAGGATCTTGGGGCCCTTCCCGGCTCTGGCACCTCCCCGGCCCATCCTGTCTCCTCACTTCCCGCCTGGCTCTGCCCCAGGCAGGCCAGCGCGTGCGTCACCTCCCTCTGTGTCCTTTCCCTCAGCCCTGCGGGGCTAGCACCGGCCACCACCCTCTTGTTACCTCGTACCTGAGCCTGCCTCTGCAGAGGGACGCTCGTCGATTATTTATGGCCGAGGTTGTGTTTCCGTCTGGTGATTGGAGGGAAGGCTGGGCACGCAGTCCTTGGCGGAGTTTGTTCCCTTCCTTATCCTCCCCCTCGGGGTAGAGGGTGGCCGTGTGCCCACCTCTTGCCCTTGCACACATCCATGACCAGCACCTGTGTACGCTTGCTCACACACACACACACACACACACACACACACCAGAGGGGACCAGAGGCAGTTCAGTCAAAGTGGCCCCAGTGTCGTTTGAACAGAGGGAGAGCCCACGGCCTTGTGTGACCCCACATGGGCGTCCAGAAGCCCCCAGGGGTCCTGGGGTGTGGGGGCCGGCGGCTGAGTGAGACACAGGAGGCCAGGGCCTGGCCAGCCAGCCATCTCGGGGTGACTCAGGCAGGTGGAGCAGACCCAGAGTTTCTGTAGTGGCCGCCTGGGGGACATGCTGAGCTTGGGGTGTGGGAGACCCTAGGGAGAGCTGACTGAGGCCAGGAGGTCCCCCTCTGCGCATGTCCGCAGGCCACATGCGCTGGAGCCGGGGGCGCTGAGGCCCAGCCCCCGCTCTCTCAGGAGCCACTCTGGGCTCTGGGATGTGGTGGGCGGGGGGTGTGTGGGGAGTGACAGGCAGACAAGCAAACCAGACAGATGGTGGAGTGTTGGGGAGAAAAAGACAGCAGGAAGGAGGTTAAAGTTTTAACCGTGGTGATCAGGGAAGCCCCCCCCAGGAGAAGACATTTGGAAAGGAACATTCCAGAGCCCTAAGAGGTGCTCAGGGAATGGCAGGAATTCAGTGTGGCTGGAGGAGAGAGGAAGGGGGACGGGAGGGAGGCGCCGGGGTCTGGAGGTGTGCAGGTGTGCAGGGCCTCCGGGAGGGTTTCCATGTTCTCAGCCCCGTGCCGCCAGGCGACAGGCTGCAGGGGCGGGAGCTGGGGGCCGGGGGAGCAGCGGCTGGGTCCTGGGTGTGCTTTTGCTGGTGGAGCGGCTGGGGTGGCCGTCAGGGTTCTGCCTGGGGTGGCTTAACATCTGGAAAAGGTCAACCTCGGGAGAGGCGCAGGATGAGTATCTGGAAAGGAAGCCAGCTTGAGGCCCAGCGGAAGCCCCCGGAAGAGTTGGCAGAGCCATCCACCGAGTCAGGCCTCTCGTCTTCCCTCCTCTCCTGCCAGGACCCTCGCGGGGATCAAGGCCTGTGAAGCTGCCAGGATGGAGGACGCAACGGACACCGTGCGAGGCCTCATCCTCGAGCTCTCCAACCTGAAGTAAGGGCTGGGAGGTCCTCGGGGGCAGGCAGTGGGGACGGGCCCACAGACAGGGTGGGGAGGCCCAGTGGGGCAGCGGGAAGGAGGCCCCCCAGCGAGGGGCCTCGGAAAGCAGCGCTGCTCCTGGGCCCTGGCCCCACGTGGTGCAGACCTGTCCTTCGCAGAATGGTTGGGTCTGAAGAGGGGCTGGAAGTCCGAGTCTGCCTGTGACAGGCTGGCTCTGATTGTGTGTGCGTGTGCCTGTGCGTGAGTGCACGGGCCGTAGGGGCACGTGGCCTGTGAGGAGCGTGAGCAGGCGCATGTGCCCAAGTGTGACGTGTGGTCCCGCTCCGGCGCACGGTGGCCACCCAGCACACCCACATGTCCTGCCGGCGTGTCCACGCAGCCGGCTGATCATGAGCACCCACCGGGACCTGGAAGCCTTCAAGCGCCTCACCTCGAGGAGGGCGAAGCCGGCAGGGAGAGGCCCCGCACCCTACACGTCAAAGGGGGCTGCCAGCCTCCCTCGTGGGGAGCAGCCCTGGAGGGATCTGTAGGATTCTGCCTCCAAGCCAGCCGTGTGTGTGCGTACCACTTGCCGCTCGCCTGTCCTGCCAAACAGCTGGAAACAGTCTCTCAGCAGACCCCACAAAGCCCACAGGCCCGTGTGCCCTTTGGTATTTTGTTACCCTCCAAGATGCTCCAGCGGGTCCTAGTGGGCCCCAGAAACCGCCCCTCAGCCGGCCCGGAAGTCGGCTTCCCTGGGAAGCACAGGAGCAGCTGGGGATGCTGAGGGAACCTGCTCCTCCCGGGCCCCCGAGGCCGTGGGAGGCGGGAGGCAGCAGCTGGGGCCCCCGGAAGCCGGCTGCTTCTGAACAGGACTGGAGCTGCCCAGATGTTTATCTGGGTTTGCAAATTTCGGTTCCTTCGCTGAGGTTACGGAAGGTTCAGAATTTGTTTTTTTCCTGGTGGAGAAAAGGGCCCCCTTTGTTGCCTGTGCCTTGTGTCTCCCTGGATTTCCATTTCATTTCTTCCGGGAGGACCATTAATAAACACACCCTAGCTTGAGGCCCGCGCCTTGCTGTTTGGGGTTTGGGGCTTTCCGGTTCCTCGATGTTCCACCCACAACCTCCCCGCCGCCTCTCCCCCTCTTCTCCTCCTCCCCGGAAGGCGTGGTGAGCCACTGCTGGGACACAGGTCGAGGGGTCCCCTCCAGGTGCCGAGCGTGTTGGATTCTCCAGGAGAGGGTGACTGTGTGTACACGCGTGCCACACGCACACGTCTGGAGCAGCAAGCCCACCAAGACGGGGCTGCTCCGGCCCCGCTGCAAGGAGGCAGTCCCGGGGGGTCATCGATGCAGACGGGCCCAGTGCCTGCAGGGTGCCCAGGGCAGCTCGCACACCTCGTCCCACACAGGCCTTACCACAGCCCCGGTGACCGTGACGGCATCACAAGCCGTCCAGGTGCTGCCGGCAAACCCAGTTTACAGAAACAAGGCTTCTGTTAAGTTGCTCACCGCAAGGCTGAGCAGACCCGAGACTTGATCTGTTGCTCTGCCTGTGGCTCCCGCTCTCCAGCTCCAGGGCCAGGCAGGGCCCCCTCCCACCGCCTTCTTACACCCCGGGAGACCCCACACAGGAGGGAAGCAGGGCGGGCCAGGGTCCCCCCAGCTCTCCTGGCTGGACGTGCGGCCCCATCCTCGAACCTGCCAGGACATGCCCAGTTGCCTGGGTCCTTGGGGCTGAGCCCCCGCAGCTCTGGTTTACACAATTAGCAGATGCAGCAGCTGGTGGGGCTGGGACGTCGTCCCCCAACCCAGTGCAAAGACCCTCGGGGCCACTAAGGAGCCCTCCTCTGTGTCCTCCTTCCCCTCCCCGGCCCCCCAAGCCTGGGTGGCAGGCTGGCCTCAAAGGCCAGCCCCTGGCCCCAGCTCCGCTCCCCAGTGACCCCAGGTCCCCGTTCAAGTTGAAAAGCCAAGGGCTGAGTGGACCTGTGAAGTCCAAATCCTGGGCCCCCCCGCCCCCCAACCTGGGAGAGAGGCCATGGGGGCCAGAGCGGAGCCCAGGCCCCAGGGGAGGGATGGGGAAGGACGCCTGCCACCTGCTGCCCCTAGAGGCAGGGGGAACAAGATTGGGGGTGGAGGCAGCCAGATTGGGGGTTCCCCTGGTGCAGCCCCACAGGAGGGCCGAATCACAGTCCCTGGGCGGGGCTGGGTCTCTGTCTCCCTCCACTCTGGCCCAAGCAGACCCCAGTCGCCACCACGGTGCCCCAGCCCCTGCCTGGGCTGGCCCGAGCCCTGGGGCGTATTCCCACTCCTTGCCACCCTCCCCCCCAAGTCCTTCCCTTGCTCTGAAGGGCCTGGCATGTGACTCCATGGCCCTGGGTCACTGCGGCATCCCTGGTGACTTGACACTCTCCGAGGGCCTCCTTGGTGAGGACGGTTGGAGGGGACGGCTTGGTCTAATCATCTCGATTTCCCCCAAATCAGGCCCCGCTCCAGTGCCCAGCAGACGTGTCAATGTGTGAGGGTGGCGGGAAGGGGGGAGGCACCACGTCCCAGGAGGGGCCTCAGGGCCCGAACCCTGCAGCAGGTGTCGAGCGTGTGCTCACAAGCGTGGGGCCAGGGACCCTGCAGAACCCACAGCCGCCTGCGGGCCTGCTCCCGTTTCTCAGCACAAAGCAGCTCACGCAGCACCCCAGGGTGAACCAAAACCCCAACAGCATCGGAGAAAGTGGGGCTCAGACTAACGTGGGGGCTGATGCAACCAGGAGAGAAAAGAGGTGCCCCAGCTCCTCCAGGGCTGTTCTGGCTACCTTGTCCCAAGACGGAGCCTCGGCAGACGCTGATCCATTCATAAGCATTTATTGAGCGCCCACTGGGTGCCCAGCGCCAGGGAGGGAGGGCAGGGGTGCCTGAGGACCACCTCCTTCCTTACGGGGTCTCTTCTGGCGGTGCTCCCGAGTCCCGCTCCCTCGCCAGGCCCCCAGGGGCGGGTCCTCCAGGGGGAATGGTCCCTGAAATGCAGCCTCCACCGAGCCTGGGTCCCCATGCCCAGCGAAGGCAGCATCCCGTCCTGCCCGCGCCAGCCTTCTAGGCCGAAGTGGAGGGACGGCAGGAAGAGGGCGAAGGTCCAGAAGACGTCCCGGCACCTTTGGAGCCTGGATTTTCAAAGAGGAGAAAACCAGTTAATAATACGCGATGATTCAGGTTGCCGAAGTTCAACCCGAGGGCCGCCGGGGCTCTGGCGCCACCTGGAGGCTGCTCCTGGGATAGCGCCCCGTGACACTCCCGGACCCGTGAGGCGCCAGGTGGGACCCAGCCGGACACGCAGCGCAGAACTCCAGCGCCGGCCGGCCGTGCTGGCCCCTCGCGGCCGCAGAGCTCTGGGGACTCCGGATTTGTTACACCCGGAATGTTACCGGGGGGCCGGCCTCTGGCAGCCCTTCTGTGCCAAGACCGCGGAGAGGGCTCCCCCACCCCATCCTCCACACCCGGGGAGGCGTTTTCCTGTTCCCTTAGACTCAAGGGGAAAGAGGAACATTCTGAGACCATCATCTCTATGTTCCCCCCAGCTTCCTGGGTCTCCCGCTGGACCTCACGGAACCTCACAGAGAACACTAGCTTCTGTTGGAGGCAGTCGCTCACTTTCTATACAAATGCTCACTGCGCAGCTGCAGGGACGGGGAGGGGTCCCGCCCAGGCCCCTCCCTCAGGAGCTCACAGTCTGATGGGGAAGCAGTACCCACGCAGGGCACCCACGTGGACAGCGACAGACCTCATCAGACCAGCCTGCTCTGCTGGCTGACCCCCCGGAGGCAATCCAAGTTGCTAAAACGAATTTCTCTTTTAAAACCCCACAGAAGCTGGGGTCTTTCGCATCTGTTATAACTGCTGCCATTTACACGCGAGCTACTCAAAGCCTGCCTGGTCCGTGGCCTGGCAGCCTGGCGAGCCGGTGAGAAATGCAGATGCTCAGGCCCCACCCACAGCTGCAGAATTGGAATCCGCATTCCATGGGCAAGATGGGGTGACCCCAGGTGGTGGCCCGTGCAGGGTGAAGAGAGCGGGCTCAGGCCTCAGGGAAGCTCTGACCTCGGCTCTCCTAACCTCAGAGCAGGCTGCCCTCCTGAGCTGGTCACAGGCTGCTCCCCTCGCCTGGTGTTCCCCCAGACGCCGGGCCTCTCTCCGCCTTGCTGGCTGCCTCAGACACCTCTGCCTGGAGGACAGCCCCCCGCTTCCAACACTCTCAGATCCGTCCCCAGCGTCCAGCTGGTAACCAAGGCCTGACACACTGAACACGCAGACCCCGTCTTGCCCCTTCCGTGGCCCCCTAATGCCCAAATCCAAGACCTACAGGCCCTTCTGCTGGCCCCCGATCTGACACCTCCCCTCCACCACACATCACACACCCTCCGTCCCAGACACACTGACCTTCACTAAGTTCCCCACAAGCCCCAATGCCTGGGCCGAACTTCCAGCGCTCCACCCAACTGAATTGGGCTTCCAGAAGTCACTTCCTCCAGGAAGCCCTCCTGGAGGCCCTCAACCGGATCGGGTGCTTCCTCTAGACTCTCCCACTCAGCACCCGTCACCCTGTGTTTGAGCTGCTGCTCCCTCATCTACCTGTTCACTGCTGGCCTGGCCCAGTGCTTGGCACAGAAGATGCACACGAACTATTTGGTAACTGACTAAGCAAATGAGGTGGCTGGGGTTCAGAGAGGCTCAGCAACTTCTCTCAGGCCACACAGCTTCTAAGGGCCAAGCAGGCTTGGAGCTCCTGATGTACCTGTCTGCAGATCCCACCGCTGGTCTCCGCTAGTGTGGCCTCCCTGCCAGATCACCCTGTGCCTGGAAAAGGATGGCATTTCCCCCACAGGCCCAGAGAGGGAGAAAGCCTTGCCCAAGGCCACACAGCGAACTCAAGCCGAGGTTTACCCACACTGGGCAACGCTTCCAGAATACTGTTCTGAGCTTCCTACACGGATTATCTCCCCCCAACCCTGAGGCAGGCCCCTCCACAGCGGGTCCCCCAGCCACCTGCGCAGGCTCCTCCTGCTCCTCCTCGGCGGTGCCCGTGCCCTGGGTCCTGCGTTCTGGCCCTGTCAGGCCGGGCCAGCCTCTTGCCGGCCGAGTTGCGGGTGGTGTAGCTGTAGACGGAGGTGTAGCCCTGGCCGGTGAGCGGGCAGAAGCGGCGGGTGTGGGCGCGCTCGCGGGTGGCGCCGCACTGGGGGCACACATAGTCCCGAAGGATGGGGCACAGCACCCGGCCCGCCTCGTCCTTGAGCACGTGGGACTGGTAGATGGCCCGTGACTCGCCGTTGTGCTTGCAGAAAGAGCACAGGCGTTCGGGAGCTGCTGGGGATTCCGGGACGGGCCTCTGACCCCCTGGTCCCGGCGTCGGCTCTGGCTGTGGGTCCAGCCTGGTCTCGGGCTCCTCTTCTCCACGCAGAGCCCCCACCAGGCGTGCCAAACCCAGGTAATCTGTCCACAGGTCGAAGGTGCCCATGGCTGGGCAACGTGTGCCAGGCGGAGGGGCAGAGAGGGAAGAAACTGCCTGCCCAAAGTTCGCCCCTCTCCCCTTCCTCCCTGCGCCTCCCTGCCTCCCTGCCCCTCTCCGGAGCCCAGGAGTTTGAGCTCTCAGTTCCCTCCTTATATCTCCGAGGGGACGTGAAGGGGAGGAGCAGGCTGTGGGAGGTCCCTTACTGTCACAGGGGGGCTTGGGCCGCTCCCGGTAAATGCACCTGCCCTGCCCCTGCCGAGGGGATGCACCCCATCGGTCTCTGGGAGGGCTGAGGGGAGGGGGTACCAGGACAGGCTGCAGGGGGCACCCACAATTTAAAGCCACACATGCCCCCCGAGGGCACTGAGAGGGCTACCCCTGCCTTCTCCCCCTTGGAGGCGGCTGCCACCCCTGCCCCACAGGCTGAGGGGGGGAGTGTGGAAGCCCCGCCCCAAAGACAGGCGTGGACAGAACCAGTAACTTAGTAACTTCTTCCTTCCGTCCCCTGGGCTGGGGCAGGGCCACGCGCCCCTGGGCAGTTCAGGCAGCCGCTGATGGTGCCTGGCTCCCGGCTGGGGGACAAGGACCAAGGCCCCCAGCTCCGGTCTCCCTCAGGGTGCTTTCACACCCGTTGTCTCAGGGGAAGCCCATTGAATGGATGAACAAGCTGAGGTGTGAGGTCACTGGCCCGAGAGTTATAAGCCTGCCTCCCCCATCCAGCTACCTCCCTGAGGCTGGGCCCCGAGGTTAGAGGGGTGAGGCAGACCTTATGGGGGGGTGGGGAGAGCAGAGCACAGGTTGGGCTAATGGGGGAGCCCCAGCCCTCAGCAGCACCTTGATCCCCAACTTGAATGAGATCCCAGCTCCCTCTCAGGAGGGGGTGTGCCAGGAGTCACCAGGTGGGGCACAGACCTGCAGGTGGGTCAGGCGGCACCAAGGTGGAGGTGGACCACGGGGACAGCAGGGTCTGTGGGCGCTGGGCAAAGAGGGTGGGGAAGCGGGGCCCTGGACTTGGACACTGAGAAAGGAGGATATGCTGCCTACCCACCCCATTCATCCATTCATTCATCCATCCATTCATTCAAGAAACCTTGATTGAGTCTGCCAGGAGCAGTGCTCACCAGCCCCTTCCAGAAAGGTTTTTCAGCTGCCCAGGCCTTTCCCGTGATCCTCCCCACCAACCCTCCAGGATCTATTCCCCAAATCCAGCCTGTGTCTCTGGGGTCCATGAGGATCCCAGACACCAGCCCTCCCCAAGGGGTGAGAGGCGGGGTCAGGGCAAGGTAAGGGCTGAACGATTCTGTGGGGGAGTCCAGGCTGGGTCCTGTCCCCATCCCGTTCCCTGCAGGCTGTGTCCGGCCCAGCCACAGTGACATTCATCCCCCGGTGGGTCTGGCCTCCGTCCTCACAACCCACCGACAACAATGAATGTTGATTGTGACCTTCGCTGTGGCCCAAGGGAGGGGATGTGCTCAGGATCCCCTGGCCGCCCCCAGATCTGGAAGGTGGGGGTCGCAATGGGCGGACGGCAGTTCCAGGCCTCGGGGTCCACTCAACGGTCGATGGTTTGCCTGAGCTGCCCAAACTCACCGACAGGTTGAATGTTCCCCCAAACCCTTGGCAACTTTCGGGGGGACCCCGAGTGGAGGGTGGGGGGCAGGAAACCAGATAGGGAGGGGGAGGAGAGGGGAGGGAGGGGGGGACCTATCGACTCATTAAGTAGCAAAGGGTTATTAGGTACCAGCTCTGCCCCAGGACCTGGAAAAAGCAGGAGATAAATATAAGTAGTGATAACAGTAGACGTTTACATCGCCTTTGCTACATAGATGCAGCAGTCCTGGGCGCCGGGCCCGCTTCTTCGTGCATTCACTTGAGGAATCCTCGAAACAGCCCTGGAAGGTGCAGATCTCCCCATTTGTCATTCTGGGAGACTGAGGCCAGAGGGCAGGCCAGTGGGAGGCGAGGAGGGATTCCTAGCGGCCCCAAGATGTCTGGCTGCCAAGCGGTTCTTGCCCCAGGGGCATCGATGCAACCAGAGATAAACAAGTCATTTTAATACAATGTAATACCTTCTGCAAGCCTCACCGTGTTCCGGGCGCGACTGTTTGTGAATCACAACAACCCCGGGGCGGGGGCGGGGGCGGGGGGTGGTCAGAGTCTCCACCTGGCAGATGCGGGCCGGCTGTGGGGCGGGGGGCCGCTGCCAGGCCCCACCCACAGGTCGAAGCCAGAGGACCAGAGGGGACACCGGCCTGCGGGTCTCGAGGTATCTGAACTCAGGCGCTTCTGGGCTCAGCGCCCAAGCGCACCGCCACGCGGGGGCTGCCCCGTGATGTGGGGGTGCAGAGTCGCTCGGCCTTTGGCCTCAAAACAGGCTGCGGCAAGATGCTGCCCCCTCCCCATTTCCTCCCTTCGGGGCCGCGCAGTTGGGCTACCCCCACCCTCGGGTGCCCCCACGCTCAGTCTCGGGGGAGGCCGCCCCCCACCTGGGTCTGGGGACCCTGAGGACGGCCTGGGGAGGGGCCTTCAAATTTCCAGTCCCCTCCCGTTTCACTGAGTGGAATATTGAGCCCCAGAGGATCCCCCTGGCGTAACCCTAAGGTGGACCTGGGACCCCAAATGTGCTGAGCTTGAGTGAACCCCAAAACGCCCCTCGGCGGACGCGGCCTGAGCAGGCACAGCCCGCCAAGCCCCGGGGACCCGCCCCTCCCAAGACCCGCCCCCTTAAAGCCCACCCACTTACTGCCAGTCTCTATGACTCTCCCTCTAAAGCCCGCCCCCAAACTCCACCCCCACAAAGCCGGCCCCCTAAGCCGGTCCTCCAAGAGCCCAGCAGCCCTAAGGCTTGCGGGACCCCACCCCCAGAGCCCACCACTCTGGGACCCCACTCCCACTATCGTCGCCCCCTACGACCGTCCTCTGAAGCCCGCCTGCCTAGACCCCCACGGACAGAGTCCCCAAGGCCGCCCCCACGGAGCCCAGCACCCTAAGGTCCGCCCCGACAGGACCTGTCCCCAAACCGGACCCCGAGAGCCCGACCCCCGCAAGACACGCCCCCGTGACATTCCCCGGTCTCCTGAAGCCCCTTCCCCGGAGCCCGCCCTCTCCCACCTGCAGGCGTTCCAGGGGGCGCCCCCCGCGGCCCTTCCACCCAGCCAGCAGGGCCCCTGTCGGGCGCGGGGCTGCTGCCCTGTACCCCCAGCACGGTATCCAGGCCCCTCTGGGGGAGAATGTGGGGTCCCCTGCCTTGAGGACGGTGGTCCTAACGAAGAGAATGCCTAGAACTCTGGCGGAGGGGGGGTTGGGAGGGCGGAGGTAATAATAATAATAATAATAACACTTTCCACGCGTCGCCCTCTCGTTAGGACCCCATTTTATCAGAGTTTGGAACACAACTCTCAAAAGTTTTGTTCTCCAAGACTGTGAGCTAGAATGCTGGGGTCATCGGGCATGAGGCCGCACTGGTGGGCTCTCCGAGACACCCCCTCTCCTTCTGTGTCCCCTCTCCGCTTGCTTCCCTTCGGACTCGGACCTTGACCTACCAAGGAGGGAGGTCCCGGTGAGGGGTCTCCCCAGGACAGGGGAAGGGCGGTGGGGGGATCCCCGTCTGGGCGGCCAGGAGGACGGGGGCGGGGCTTCGCGCCGAGGGAGGGTGGGGGAGGGGCTGCCGGGGTCTGACTGTGTCCCTTTGTCTGTGGTGGTTGCCCTGCCCTCGGTGTCTGTCTGGGCCTGACTGTGTGTGTCTGTCCGCCTGTCCCCTGCACGTCTGGGGCCAGTGAGGGGCGGCCTCTGGTTTGTCTGCAGCTCACTGTCTGGACTTGGGGTCCTTGAAGGGGGTGGAGAGGGAGGGTTGGCCGAGTGTCCTGAGGCCTCCTCCCTCCATCTGACTGCAGCCCAGCAGGTGCAGGTGGGGAGCCGTCTCCCCTCCCTGGGGCCCGGGTGAGAGGCAGGGGCCCTTCAGGGCCACTGTGGCCCTCATTCTGCTGCTTCCTCATCCTCAGTCCCTGGGAACCCCCACCACCACCACACCTCAGCTGGGAGGGTCTGTCTGGGTAGGCGGCTGGGGGTGCGTGGGGCGAGGGGAGCCTTCCAGAAGCCATGCTGATCCAGGGCCTGTCTCCACCCCCCGCCCTGAGCTCCAGGAAGGCAGGGCAGCTGGCCTGGGTCTGGGGGTCAGGGGCAGAGGTGAGAGGTCCCCAGGGAGCCAGATGGGCAGGCGAGGGATGGAGGCAGCGCTGGCGTCAAGTTGAAGAACAAGGCGGATGCAGGCCGGTCAGAGGTGCGGAGCTTCTCAGATGTGTGGCGGCCTGTGTGTGCATGTATGTGTGTGTGTTCCTGCATGCGTGCCCCCGAGTGTGTCCCAGTGTGCACGTCCCTGTGTGTGTGCCCTTGTGTGTGCGCATGAACTTGGGGGGACACGGGGGAGGAGGTGGGTCAGGGCCTGGCAGACAAAGAGCCCGTTACAGGGCGTGCAGCGACGGTGCAGCGGGGCCTCCACGTCGGGTGCTGTGGATGGCTCGGGCTGTCTGGACTGGCAGGCAGAGGGCTCCCGTTTCCAGGACGCCTGGGAGGCCTCTCCGGTTCCCGCCCCGCCCTCCTGTCTCCCCTGCTTCCTCTCTGCCTGCCGGCCTCTCATGCGGGGTCCTCAGACAAGGGGCTCCTCTGTCCCGCCCAGACCTGGGGCAGCCCATGGGCCGCGAGCCCGAGCTTCCTTGCCGAGCCCGCCAGACGTGGGGCCGGGGCTGCGGGAGGCCAGAAGTCTCCCGCTGCCCCGGGGCCAGGGCTGGGGTTGGGGGCTGTGGAGGGCCTGGGCAGGTCGTGGGGAACTCAGACCCTTTGGCTCAGGCTCAGGGTGCAGGGCCCCCGGGGTCTGGGTCAGGGCCAGCTTGTCTGCAGAAACGCAGGCAGCACTGCTAGCGGCCTGTTACCGGGGGCTGCGGTGGGCTTGGGGTGCGAGCTACTCTCGTGGGCTATCTGGAGGGCCGTAAGCCCAGGCAGGTGTGTGCGCTCTGGGCGGCTGTCTCCGTGTCAGGTGTGTGAGGGCGCTCCCGTGGGCTTCT